TTTTAAAGGTTTTATTAATTAAACCTTTTCCATTTAACATATCAGATATTTGGATGAGGCCATTAAAAGGCCTAGTTCTATTAATTCAGCGAGATGGCTCAACCGAATAAAGGTTTCTAGGGACTATTAACGTTACCTAGTTGATCCTCCGATAAGCCAACCAGATGTGCCAGTCTGATGAAGGCTAAGTCGGTAATTCTTGATAGTGGCAAGTTATTGGTTAAGACAATAACTAAGGACGTCAAGAGTATTTTTATTTTTTAAATATTTTTTCTAAAGATAGGATTATTTCAATGTTGATGCTTTAGCAAAACCGTCGATTAGTGTTCTTTGACCAGGTAATACGGTTTTTGTAAGCCCAGTTGAGGCCTTAGGCCGCCCGGCACCCGCACAAAAACCGCCTGAACCTACTTTGCGCTTTTTCTTAGCGGCTCCATCATTTGTTATTAGATACAAATAGTGTATACTGTAATACCGTTACGGCCAACTTTAATTACAACATTGTTTATTTATTATTTCTTTTTATACATGTTATTGATTGTTCATTGATTATTTATTCATAGAGTTATGACACGGGGTGTGTGATGGGGACTAAAGGTCAGGAGAGATTTTTTAAATTTAATCAAAACAGCTCGCTTCGCTCGCTCCCAACATAAATATTCAAAAAATCCAGAGAGAGGCAATTCCGGCCTGAGAGGCTGAGCGGGCCTAAATAGATATGCCCTAATTTCTCTATAATTACATGCTTGATCGTTGACAACGTTTATAAAAAAAAGGAGTTGTTGACGTGATATTGTTTTTTAAAAAATAAATAAATATAAAACAAATTATATACACAAGCATGCCCAGCAATGACATCCATTTGGCGTGTGTAATAAAATATATTGCTTCGTTATGTTCTCAGACTTTCGTTATACTTATATAAGCATAATCAAACTATAATAATGTTATTGTTATCACTTCTGGGTAAATATGTAGTGAGTTTTGACAAGAGTTTAGGAATTGAGGTTCATCGTGCAATCGATTGCAGGGCACATCAAATGGCGTAAACACACTTTTACTCGATTTTAGAAGCTGTAGCTTGCATTACGTTTATAAGAATGTACGAACGATATTTTTTTTTGGGACAATATCTGTACGTGACAACATTGAAACTTTACTAATTATGCATATATAGACGCAATAATCGTGTTTAGGAGGATTCCTATGTAGTGTTAGACTCCTAAGTATAGGTGTTCTGCTTGTACTACGACCTTGGCTCCTTTGCAGGTCATTTAGGAAATACTTGATATGGAAAGGTGCCAAAAAATATTGCGATTGAATAAAAATCCGGATAAAGACAATCTGGAACGCTTTTTAATTTTCGGCCTGAATTGTACCCCTTAGTATATGGATGGGGTGTTAAAAACAAATAAATACATAATAACAAAACATAAAATATATCTTTCTCAAATTCTCACACTTTTCTCCGTCTCCCCGCGAGTCTGGAGCTAACCCCAAACCGTTTTCCGTTAAAATTTGTATAAATCGAATAAATATACGTTTACGCTCAACTTTTATTTTATATGCGGTGCTTTGCAGACCTGCAGTGTAAATAGTACTATGTAGTCAGTAACTTAGTATTATGTGAAGTGTGAAGTGTGAGACTGAGTATGCTCGTAGGTGCAACTTGCAGATCTAAACATTTGAGTGTGTTTCATGTTCACGATACGAACCAGTCTTATAAAAGAACTTAGATAGGCCCTTCTGATCACATTATAACCGTTATAATGTTTTAAAAATGAATAAATATGCGTTTACGTTCAACTTTTATCCCGTACCCCCAGAACGTTATGAGCTTTAGCAGTCTGGAGTGAGTGGAGTCTAAAGAATCGACCAAAGTCCAAAGTCCAAACCCATATTTACACATGAAGAGTTGACTCTCGAAGTCTCGAGCCTTTTCACGCGAGAGAGAGGAGAGTTGAAGTCTTGAAGTAAGAAGGGTTTCTCCGCAGTCCGCTCACCGCTGACCGCTCTCTCTCTCGTGCGCGTGAGAGGAACAAAATGAGAAGATCAGTGTCAATTTGGTTTAAAAAAAAAGGGTCACTGACCAGTAAGTGTAACCCAGTATTTAAATATGTAAATAACTAAATATGTAAATAACTAAATATGTAAATAAATACATTATATGTACGTACGCCGTTTTTTTATTACAAATCTTGGCTCTTTTGTTTTGTTTTGAAAACACAACTATATTTATAGACTCCTGAGTCCAGGCGGGCAAGGCCCCAAAGCCCCAATCCCCACAGGTTCAGGGCCCAGGGCTAAGCTCAATACGTTTTGCTAACACGCGATAAACTTCAAACGTAAGCGCATTTTTTTTTAAGCGTTTTAAAAAGTATATCGGGGGCATATCGACAGTGAAATTTTTCCAAATTTGCACCCGAGAAATTGACCTTTTTTAAAAATGAAAAGGCGATTTGAACATATTCATAAGTGATAAATAAATCCAAAGTATAATAGTTAGGCGGTTAGGCCGCCTCGAAAAATGTCTATATTTAGGATAAACTTTGAACGTAAACGCATTTTTTTACGTTTTAACTGGAAACGGAATGAGATTAGGTCCAGGGTCCCCAAGCGACCAAGACTTTTAAAAAATTAAGGTCCCAAGAGACAGTTAGGGTCTCAGGAGTCAGGGCCTCAGGGCTAAGACAGACTGGCAGAATCTTTACTTTTTACGTTTTTTATTTTGTTTTCTTCTTTCTATCCAAAATAAATAAATAAATAAAACGCAAAACCATAGCCTTCTGAAATCAAACAACAAAACCAACAATAATAAATAATTAAAAACATATTTTTTAAATTTAGTTTTAGCCTATTGTATTTGTTTTTTTATAGTTTGGTTTTAAACAAAATAAAAGAATAAAAAGGCAGAAAAAAAGTATAGACCTGAAAAGGAAGCCGAAAATCTTTGTCCGGATATCCGATTGGCATATGGTAACTAAAAAGTACTTTTTGTAATTTAAAAATTATACTATATTTTGTTTTAAAAATGTGTATATAAATATGGTGAAGGTCATAGTCGTCTAAAATAATTAGACATGAATGATGAAGGTATGTTTTTATTTATTTTGTTTTTAATTTTTAATTTTGTAAAAATTACATTGAGAGAAGATCAAAACATGGTTTTAAAAAACAACAACAAAACCAATATAGTAGGCCATGAAAAAACATGGTACATAAGTACATAAAGATAAAATATTATTACAAGAAAAAAAAACCGTTTTGGAAAAAAAAATATACAAACCAGACCATGAACCACCAGAATGTGCCAGTGACCAGTAGCAACTGACCACTCACCACTTGACTGATCTCACCTATTACTTTCTATTTACACACAGGGTCCTGGACTTGGGTCTTGGAGTCCTCGACTTCTGGGACCTGGGGGCTAGGGCCTCTCTCTACTCAGAGAGAGAGGGCTTTGGGGGGGGAATAGGGGCTATTGGTTCGTGGAGTCGAGAGCTGTGTTAACTGTTACACTCCACCGTCTTGCAGTCACCACTCACCACTCTCCAGTCTCTAGTCGTCTCCGCAGTTTCCAGTGCCCGGCGAGGCAGCGCGAGCGGACCCCCCAGCCCCATTGGGGTTTATTTTTTGTCCAATATATATTTATGTATGACTGTGTATTTTAAAATAGACTCTTTTTGCTAAATTTTTTTTTAGGAGAGAAAGTCCAAGGACTCCAGCCTCCGCCCTCCAGTCAGACTCAGCTTCAGGCTTAAAAAAAACTAAAAGGTGAGTGCATTTTCTTCTTTCTTTGTTTTTTGTATGTACATATTGTATTCTGTTTTAAAAAACCCCCCAAAATGTAATTTTTAGTAAATATTTACAAATGTAAATACATACTCACTCTGTAGTCTGTATTTACATACGCTTCTGGAGTCTGGCACTTTAGCCACAATCCACACTTGTGGGGCATGAGCCCTGGCCCCTGCGGCCTGGGGCCCTGGGCCTTAAGGGATTGGGCGGGGGGGAGGGGGCTGGAAGGCGGAACGGTGAATCGGTGATAAACCCTAAAACCCAGCCCTACAGGCCTACTTAGGACGGACGTCGGACAGTACACACTGCTACACAGTATTTATAAGGTAAATACTCTAGAGGTTAGTTGGTCACATAGACATTAGGGATTAGACACACACTGACACACTCTCAGAGAAAGAGACACACACAAGAATTTCCAACATATATTGAGCAATGAGCAATTGAGCATATTAATTACTAATTGAAACATTTCAGACGGCTATGATAAGGTAATAAACATTGCTTCTGGAAATAATTTACTCTCCGATACTGATTTTCAAAACAATAGTGACAAGAGTGTATTGTCATTTTTTCTATAAAAGTTTATATAAATAAATATTGTTCATAACTTTATACTTTATTGTCGTATATTTTATTTTCTTATTTTCTTAATTTTTTATAGGGGGGTTTTTCAAATATTTGAGATGAATGGTGATGGCTGAACACGGAGGATATGTTATATTTTAAAATAACATTTAGACTGGAAGGCTGTGTGTCCGTAACTCCGTAACTCCGTATCTCCTTGTGTTGTGTGTATTTTTTTAACACTATTATATGATTTGTTTTAAAAAAATCAAGAACAAATAATCAATAGTCAAAAGTGTACTACAGTAAATATGTAAATACATATCTGTACGTGAGTCGTGATCGTGACCATTTACGTCCGCTGGTGGGTGCATATATATATATAATTCCATTTTTTTTTGCAATAATGATATCAAATCTGAAATCGGGAATTGGCTGTATTCTTTATTTACGTTTTATTTATTTTCGTACTACACTCGGGGGAATATGTAAATATTTACATGATTTCATAGTGAAAAAGCATATATATCACGCACATATAATGCAAAAATTTCGCATAACAACGGCAGTCTGCTACCGGCGTTGTCAGCATTTTCAAGGTCTGTCATGTGCTACAATCAAGCAAATACGGAGGGTCCTGCTCAGGCAAACCACGAGACTACTATAGATAAGGTGACGCGCTCGCCTAATCCCATAGAGTCGGATAGTTCTCCTACAGACCTGGATTTGTTAGGGAGTGTGTGTAGTAGGGTAGACAGTAAACTTGGTTTGGACGCATCAAGGCCAACCACACCTGTCGATGGGGATTCGAACTCGCCTATAGAGTTACGTCAGGAATGGGAAGCGGTCAGTATTGAAGATGACGATTTGCATTTGCATCGAAGTACGCAGATGCTGGCATATATTGACCACAGTCGCGAGACGAACTCTACGGTAGCGGGTTCACCTTCGTCTGCGAGATCACTCGCGGAATCCTCGGATTCAACGGAACTAAAAGCGCCAATTAAAAATCAAGAATTGTGCACAAATTTGGTATATGTTGATGCTTCGCTGTCGAAGGCTGAAAAGGTGACAGAAGATGGAGTAGCAAATACTTCAGTGAAAGAGCCCATTCTAATCAAAAGGATGCCCTGCTCACGCGGTGTCACGCAAGATATTGCTTCGTTCAGTGAGGCTCAAGCGAAGCTGGCAAGTCAGTTCGACGATCGTCGACGCAGAACAAGGCAGAAAAGGTACATGTATGTGTCTCTCAGAACACAATTGGGTCATTCATACCGTTTAAGAGTTCGGGAGGCAGACACAGTAGAGAGAATCAAGTACAAGGTGTACTCGAACACGGGTATTCCAATTGAACAGCAACACCTTGTGATGAATGGCAGCGAACTCAAAAATGATTCACGTACTGCACTGCAGCACGGTATACGCAAGGGGTGCTCAATTACTCTCGTTGTCAAAGTACATTCCGGTAATATACGCATGGAGTATGTCCGTCCGGAGTGCTCGTCGCCTGAGCACTTCGACACACCCGTGGTAACTCAACTTAGAATGGCCGACGGGCGTGTAGAAATAATACCCCCGGAAACGAACGCTGTCGATCTACAAAACTACGTGCGCAAACTCGTTAATGACGGACAGCAAGTGTCTACTCACATACAGGTAGGTGGTAAGAGTATTCTGGTCTGTTTGCGACCACCGTCAACAGAAGTGGAGGAAAGTATGCTTGGCGTGATACAGCCAGCAACGAGTGCACAAGATAAATCAAAGTCTGTCAACGGAGAACTAGAAACTGTTGCATCCAAGTTCAAGCAGGAAGGCAGAAACAAGAGAAAGGAAGATGGAGCTACCAAGAGCAAAATGGATGAAATCCGAGCGAAATTGGCTGCTCGAAAGCAGGTTATGAACAAGAATAAGATCAAGCCTGTCGGTGGCGTTCACAAATCGACAAGAAAGTAATAGTTTAAGAATGATACAAAGACCGGCAATTTTTTCAGCGGACGGTCTGATGAATGGGTGTGTACTTTATATAGACTAGCCCAAAAATTGGATTTAGTAATTAATTAGTATGATGTACAACAAAATAGTTATTGATTAATAAATATGCAGTTGATTATAATTTTTCCTCTAGGATGGTCAGCATCTAAAGGGTTGTGTAAAGAGTCCAATTTGATCATCTGGTGTTAGCACAGTTGGAATGCTACTTTAAACTAGTTTCGAGCTCCTACACTAGTATAGGGGTCGTGTAGCTGTATATCACAGCCTTCGATCATCTTTGATTTCATTGCGCTGGTGACCTGCGGTGACGCTTTCCGAAGTTCAAAAGCTAGCCAAGGACGTTTACTTATCCAACAAGGCGAGTTTACGTCGAATAGTATTCTCGCACACCTACAACGAGACTACTCATACATGGTGGAAATTCCAATCCGAATTCTGTGTTACGGTCGGACCACGAGTGCACCATTGACCGATTTTGAGTCACATTCCGAACGATAGCTTCTCCCATATCGACACCTAGATAGATGGACACCATGTGGTACACACGGAACAAAAAGCCAACAACTATGAGACGTTTTCGGATGCGACAATCCACACGTACCGATTCGAAGTTGCGACAGAGTAGTTTCACCAGGGCAGATTCAGTGCGATATTATCTTGGGTTCAGTTCGCCGAAAGATTTGCTCCACATTTCAGGCGCAGCAAGGAATAAAATATACTAAGGCCACTAAAATCAGGTACAGGAAACGTAAACGAAATGTTGAATAGTTACAAAATATAGCCAGTTGTCGCTACATCAGAATAATGGGGCTGCTGGGATTGGTAGAAGAATCGACCTCTCCTGCATTTCGTGCGTATGCAAAAGTGTCGGAGGCGAGGTTGAAGATCCTGTATGTACCCATTGAAATCATGGCACGCTCGTAGTCAGTAAATCTTCGGGCCTGTAGATACCATCGTGGAACATGTGAAAGGTCAACGTCGAATCCGTATCGACGATACCTATCGAAACACTGAAGCACCCAAGTAGAAAGAAGACGATCAGGATACTGAAATAGGACGGAGGAAACCAAGGAATCTTGCCGACGTAGCATCCCCGGCTAAAGAAAGCGTCGTCAAAGGTCTAAAAGGTACCGCACACTGCGGTCGAAGTATATGTATATAGCAAACTTTAACCGCTCAACTACAATTGGGATTGACAACGACATGGAGACGCATGGAGGAAACGAATGTGTTGCGCTCTACTATATTTTGATAACAAGCAACAAGTCAAGCATGAGGATATCGCAACAACGCCGTTTAATCGACCGCTCAAACACCACGGGCAGAATATTGATTCAATGCAGGATATACAATCATTGTCAACACACCTTGTGAAGCCGTCGAAGACTTGAAACCAACCATCGATCCTATAAAGCAAGAATCAGGAGTTGCGTGTCGTTAGGCTGTGCAGCATCAGCAAAACGATATATTGTCTTGCACTATTGTCTTCGATATCAGCAATTAGTAAAGCAGTACAGTAAATACAATGAATCTACATGTATGTAAATTTGTAGGGAAGGAAAGTACATTGTACAACTCCACGTCTGCGATATAATCAAAGTTTAGCGTTGGATCACAATACACATAAGATATATCAGCAAGAATCGGGAAAAAAATAATGCCTTACGCTTCCATTGTCAAAGTGTCACGTGCTGAAATGGGAACCACCACTTGAAGCTCAGCATCCGGAGACCTTCTGCCAACGACATATTCTAAGCTGCTTCCCTGAGCTCGTCGTGCACTTACCTCCTCCCACAACTTTACTAAACATTACAAGAATATTCAATTGCTTTAGTGATACAATGGGAACTTGGTGCAGTCATGAGCAAGAATCTCACACGTGCCACACTGCCTGTACCAACAACCAATAAGGCTTGTGAAACTAAACGAGAGTGGGTTCCGTAAGCTGCGAAAGAACATTGAAATCTAGTTGTGCACGAGTACACGTTTCATAAAAGGCAGATACGTTATCTGCTACCAACACTAAATCTAGATAAGGAGAAGGAGAACGAACGACGAGATACAATCGCCGAAAGCCACAGTGATTCAGTTGCTCATAAATCTCAAAATACGTGTGCCTTAAGCAACTCTGCGGTTGAACATTCAAAGTCCACTGGGTCGGGCAGAGGTTTAAACCAACTTGGCGTTTGTTGCACAGCTACGATTCTCGGTGTACAGGACAGTAGAATACGAGAGCAAAACTCGAACACAGAGCCACATAGAATATAATTATTCCTTGGATTCAGAACTTATACGAGCATACATAAAATCAATATATAAGTATAGCAATAAATACAAAAATAAACGTAAATATAAACATAAACATACACACATACACACACACACACACGCACACATACATACACACACACATATA